ATACTGAGCGCGTGTATCTTGCCATATGGAACTCGTTCACGGAAAAGGCAAAATCATGCTGTTACTTTTGAATAAAAATTTGCGGAGTTAATATTTTCACCGTGGGATAAACAACAATTAACGAATGCGGTGCGATCGTTGGTTTAAAAAATGATCGCAGTGATCGTTTTATGCAACATCGAGCAGAAAATGCATGCACCGAATGTTGCATGGTCGGCGCGGCGAAAAACAGTCACGGTCGATTGTCAGTTTTGCAAGTACATGTACAATTGTTTTTCTGCCAGATTTTTAAGTGTTTAAACGAAGTGTGAATGGGGTCATTTGCAATTTTATCTTTCTGAAAGTTAAGCCAAATTTTCTTTTCAAGTTGTAGAACTGGGTAAAATGCGGAACTGGACAAACAACGCTGTACATCATGGAGAGGGGGTTTTCCGATCTTTGCGCACTGAGCGTTGCATACGCAAGCCTATGTGTGGCCTTCCAACCAGTGGAAAGATTCGTTACACATTATGTACACGTGCATTGCGCGTAACAAAGCCTCCTATTGGTTCATGTTAATATTTGGTCCAGGTATGTTGCATATGCATGTACGTGGGTGCGCAGATAATATGTATGGCAGTGCAAAGTGAAATTTACGAAGAAATTTTACCGTTTCTTCACGATCTTCATATCTTCACGATCGATCCCTCGACCAAGATGCTATTTTATTTGGGTTCTTATCGGGAATACGTGCCGGTCGGAAAAGTTGATTTGGCAGATTGTGGCGGTCGGCAATTCTGCGTGCCGGTCGGGCCCGACCGGCGCCGACCGTCAGCGGCAGATCCCTGGGTCCGACGTCCGCTCTTCTCCCACAAATCGAACATGTGAGCGGAGTCGAACAGATGTAGGCCTACGTCGGATGGCGGACCCCACAGTTCTGGGGATACAGGTAGGGGGTAGCCCCACAAATAGGGCTTGCAGTGGCTCGCTTGTGGTGGTGACAGATAAGAGACAGATTGTAAAAGCGAGCCACTACAGCCCTATTTGTGGGGCTAGGGTAGGGGGCTGCTTAGCCCCACTAGTGTGACATGGACTCTCACTCCCGATCCATCCTTAGCCACACATCCGTATGCGCAACTTTGCGTTGGCGTACTGAACATTTTCGGTGCACCCACTTATCATCGTGGGCACAATTTCTTTTGCACACGGACATGATCCTTGACCTTTCCGTTTTCTAAAAACCATTTATTTAATGATTTCACTCACGTTATTCGGGTATTTTCCAGTCTTTTTGTCTTTATCTATTCAATCTAACGGGCTCGCTCTCGACAGCTGTTCCATGTCAAGACATCTAAACTGCTGCCAAAGTTTTGAAAGAGCCCATTGGTATGTGTAGTATCTTATCCCTCTTCCGCATATTACAAATGTCTTGACATGTAAGAGCCGTCGAGACGATAAGGGGTCAAGTGACGTATTGTTCAACAATCTTATTTTAAAGATGACGACTTAGAGCGAGCCCGTAAGATTGAATGGATAAAGGCAAAAAGACTGGAAAATACCTGAATAACGTGAGTGAAATCATTCAATAAATGGTTTTCCGAAAACGGACAGGTCAAGGATTATGTTTGTGTGCAAAAGAAATTGCACCCACGATGATAAGTGGATGCGCCGAAAATTTTACGCCGACACGAAATTGCGCATACGGATGTGTGGCTAAGGATCGATCGGGAGTGAGAGTCCGTGCCACACTGGGGCTAGGGGCTGCTAAGTTAAGTTTGGCTAAATTGCGAACGTCGTCGTCGATAAGACCAGGGTTTAGAGTATTTGTAGAATACCTGCGAACTCAGAAAATCCTGTGATGTGACATGTGCAACGGGGATGTTACTTACTTGAAGCCTTTTGATGTTAATTCAAGCGATTTTCACCACATCACGACAATACGAAATAAGCAGTAAGAAATAGCCACTCAAGTCACACCACGTTCACGCGTAGTCTGGTTACCAGACCCGATGATTCAGACTACCCGACGAGTCGCAAGGTACCGGCGGTGGTTCGATTAGCTTCCCTGAATACACCAGTGTTACATCAAGGGGAGCCTCGAAATGAGGCTAATCGAACACTTCAGCGCTGCAGCGCGCGTATTCGCAAAGGCAATCTGGGAAAAAGGTCAAGCCCCCGCTACGCGTAAGTGAGCGCTCGTTCCGTTCACTGATCTCTATTAATATATGTCTTATTTTTACTCCACTTATAATTACACGAACACCTTATACTGAGCAATAGCACATCACTGGAGACACGAGGTCCCTTTATTGAAGGCTCTATACAACAGTCTGATAAGACTTACAAATAGTATGTTATAACGTGACGCAAACACTTCGTGAACTGGCAAACATCTGGAGGTGCGCCGGTACTCTCTTAAAAGCAATAAGGCCAGTTACCATGGCTGAAATAGGTTGAAAACCAATAACAAAATCTCCAGCCATTTCAAAAACTTTAACGCTTCATCGGGGGATTCGATGTCCAAGAAAACAACAGAGATAAAATAACAAAAATGCTCTGAAAAACCTGTGCCCCAAAACATTCAGAATCCTCCTCCGCGAGGGTGTTGGGCTTCACCCTAAAATTATTGAATATTTATGCCAATAAAATAAATGTACGCGTGTCTCGTGAAGAGTGCTTGCTAGAACTGATTACAATTACTACTTTCTTCCCTATTATATGCAGATCCCAACGCCCCATTACGCAACGACCTGTGCGTTGCTCGAATTCCTAAGACAATAGTTTCCCGCTATTTTCAAAACGCGGGAGTCTTATTTTTACTCCACTTGTAATTATACACACAGATTCTTATATTACGCGGGCAATAGCACAGCACTAGCTGCAGTACCTTAGAACGTTACCAAAGCATGGGATTAGGAAAGTTAACTTAAAACATTATTTTATAAACCCAGTTTTTGGGTCACTTCTCGCCTCCTAGGCTTTTCTAGTGAATCTTCCACATATCCAACTTTACTCTCATCACGCTTCCAGTGCCCATTTCGCGCCATATCTCGAGAACCGCTTGTTATCTCCGTTAGGTTTATTCTTGATGTGAAAATTTAGTTTCTCAGCTCCAAAAACGTGTATTTTTCATTGTATCAGCAATGAAACAAGCCTGTCAAAATCGATTCGAAAAGAAATGAAATCCAACTTTTGTCTGTGGGCCGCCCGTTTTTTGTTTTTTTGGTTTTTTTTAGCTTTTTGAGAGTGTAGCGTTTTCTGCACAATTACTTGAATTATTTGCATTTATTTCTTTTAGTGAATTTAGCTTTCAGAATGTTCTTTTTGAGTTTGATAACTTTTTCATTTCCTATATATATCCTGTTTGCCATTTCTTAGACACATTACTCCCTGCATTTTCCTTGTAAGAGTTCACCCACACAGTGTCTTGTACAGTGTATATTGCTTCCGCCTATTTCACCTTGTTAGCCCAGAGGCTGTGGCACACTTCAGCATGCTTCATTTAAGCTTGTACTATCATCCACCAAGGACTTTGTTTTAAGGTGAAATTATTCATTCACAGTCATTATTCTAAGAATCCAGCTAAGACATGTGACTAAGACTTTCCTTTCTTAAGTTTTGTGACTTTAACTGCATCCTGTTTCTAACCGTATATAAGTCCTGCATCATCGTACAGTTCCTCAGTATCCCCGGTATCCAGATCCAGTATCCAGTATGCAGTTTTAGCAAAGATGATGTAGCGGGTAATTCTGCTATAAAGGTGTTATCACGATAGGCGCCATTCGAGTGTGAACGTTAATGTGTGGGCGTGCCTGTCGATGTCGCGGCGCCTGTGCCTGTCGCGGCGCCTGCGCCTGTGCATTAACATGCACTGCGCAGGCGTAGTCTAACCAGAATGGCGCCCATGTGATAACAATGTTTTACGCGTATTCATGGTGAAGTTCCCCATCTTGCGCGCTACATGGTGCTATACGATCTTTGGTATTAGTCTGCTTTTCAATTTCCAATTCAGTCAACAGTTAGCTTGCAATTCTATCGCAACCTTCTCGGTCGTTCTTGCAAATAAAGTTGGTGACAACGCTGAATTAGTACTGACTCTCATGACAACCCTATAAGAGCCTAGGGGTGCAGACCACTAATTCAAGTGAGAATTTTGCTGCCACAAGCAGCTTTAAACCCAAGAAATTTTCATAAATATGTAAAACAATGGATTTAACTGCCATCTTGTTGCCTTATTATTCATGCTAAATTAACTGTAACATTTGCTTCGTTTTTTCTTCCAAAACTATGGTTGCAAGCTATCAAAACCATACATTTAACTGTGACTTAATAGATTGTATATGTACGGTATATTGAAATATATTTCATTCTCTATATATTCCATAGGCTCACACAATGTCCACGCATAGTGCGGCCTAGAGTTTGGCTGTGTCTTTAGGTTTACAATTGACTCCAAACAAATTGATGTACTTAGCATTTTGTCTTTGGAAATTAATTGGCAACTGTTGCTTGATCTAAAAGCGGGTTTGAACAAATGAGCAGAAGTGGTATTATCTACGCCAGCGGCTGACATATTATATCCCAGCAACATAGAATATGGACCTGCCGAATTAGAACCTTTGGAAATTACCACTTCTATACCAGAATGGTAGTGATCCGTTTTGCCCTTTTTTTTAATCATGACAGTTAAATATGGTGTACTATTTACGAATCACATTTCTCTCTCTCTCTAGTCTCCCTCCAGGCGACACAACTACACGACGCGACGGCACGACGGTTCCCTTGTGTCGTGCTGTCGGGTTGCACCGTCGCCTTCTTGCCATTACTTTTGTACACACACGACGTGTCGCGTCATGCGTCGCGTTGTGCCGTCCGTCACCCGTCGCGTCATGCTGCCTCGGGTCCTTTCCATGTTGCATTTTTCCCGCCTAAACGTCGCCCCTTCCGTCGCCCGTCTCGTCGTACCGTCGTGCGTTACGTCGTGTCGTGCATTGCGTCGCCTGTTACGTTGCCTGAAGTACGACACGACGCACAATGGGACGCGTTGTGTGCTGTCGCCCTTTGCTTCTTGGCGTTTATAGAGGGCGACTTCACTGTTTTCTTTCATTTCCGCCCCCCGTACTTGCATAGTAGGGTACCGTGAGTCCACTAATTCAAGCCCCATTGAAAACAGTGTAAAATCGGCACTCTTCAGGGCCCAATAACAAACATACCGTTAACATCTTTGAGATTGCTGAAACACAAATAAAATTATTGCATGGTCCCTTATCTTTCGATTTCTTTTCAATTTTTTGTGGGTTAACCGATTCAAATTTTAATTATTCCCACTAAACAACCCCCCCCCAAAAAAGTGATTTTTCCGAAGTCTGATTGCAGCCGTTTTTCAAGTAGCAACCCTCAACTTTCTCAGGCACTTAGGCCTATTTTTCTGTTGTAGTTTTTAGCCATTCTGCTCTCATAGGATAGCTCAAAGACCCAGACAGTTGATCCTGGGCTGCTACTTTTAATGCTAATGAGCTGACCAGAAATTCTCACTTGAATAGTGGACTACATGCAACCAGTATATTACAGCGTGTCCGCCTTATTGGGCTCTGAAACTGTCACAGATACACACAGTCAACCACAAATCGCTGTTCCGGGCAAGAAACCTCTGTTTATTTTCTCCGACGTTAACAACACTGTTTTTCATACACAAGCTCTAGACACGAGGTGTCTGCGGGGACTGTGCAGGCGCGAGGCTGGAAAACCGCAGGCCGTTCGCATACCATCGGGGGCAGCCAGCTAGCTCCATGCGGGTCCGAGCTGGCGCCCCCACCGGCCGCCCCCACCGGCCGGATCCACCGGCGCTACACCGCCCCCTCTGAGGACTCTTGTTCGTCCCCGAACGAGGCGGCGCGACCCGGCGGGCCAGCCCGCAGCCATCCCAGTCGCCCCTGCGCAGCTTACAAGGCAGGGAATTAGCAAAAGCAGCAAGTACAAGAACTACAACAACAAAAAAGAAATGTCTACACAAAGGGAAAGCTATGACTAAAACTGGTAGTCCGGTGGGCTCCACGAGTCTTTTCCGCTACCACGGGAGGGGATCCAGGGGTCCAATGTGGAGGAGACTCCGGTCGCCGTGGCGCCCCCCGGCGTTGCCTCGCTGCTCGGGGGGGGGGCGGACTCCGTTCGGCGGTGATGATGCTCACAGAGGGGCGGGTCCATCATCTGCGTCTCTGGTGGCCCACTCCTCCTGCAGGGTGGCTCGCAGCCCAAGTCGCAGGCGGACGCCCCCCACACAGCTACACCCATATACACACATACGTCTCCCAGGAGCCGGGGGCAGACTCCGGTGGCCCCCGCTCCAAACTGAGGCTGGGGGCTCTACCTAGGTCTGCGTCCCCGTTTCTACTGAGTGACGCAGGGGGGCGGTTCCGGCCGTGGCGGCCGCCGTGGGGGCCGAGGGCCCGGGGCCGCACCGGAAGGCGAGTCCGACTGGTCTCGTCGATCCGGCCGGCCCCGCGACCCCCGCCTTTGGCGACGAGAGGACACCGGCGGCGACGGCTCCCCTGCAGCAGCTGACCGGGGGCGGGTCCGGGCGGCTCCCTCCAGAGGGCAGGCAGGGGGGGGCAACCAATCCATCCTTGGGAGAGAAACAGAGGGAGATTCAGGAGTAAGTGTGGAGCAGAATCGCGCCGGGCGCCGAACCCGCCGCCCCTTGCGAGTCACACGCGCGCCCCCCGCCTCCGGCTCGCATGGCGATGGCTCCGCTGGCGCGCTGCCTCCACGGCTGCCTGTGTCTGAGTTCTTTCCGCTCGACACGCCGCCGCTCCTGCCCGGGTGTCCCGACTTCGTCCCGTCAACAGGTTCCAGTACGGTCCCTTCGTCAACAGGGGGAGACAGCCCCCGTGGGCAGGACTGGGGGCCGGATCCGCTAGCTCCTTGCACCCCTGCAGGCGCGGGCGCCTCCTCGGCCAGGGCTCCGCAGGCCGCGCGCTCCCATCATCCGAGCAGCACGTCGCCCAGGTAGCACTTGAGCCGATTGCGATGCACGATCTGAGGCTTCGCTCGGGCAGTACGCTGCACTTTGTAGGTCACATCGTTGAGGCGTTGTAGCACCGCAAAGGGCCCGTCCCACCACCGTTGCAGCTTGGGGGCGCGACCGACCTTCTTCTTGGGGGTGAACAGCCAAACAGCCTGGCCGGGCTCGAACCCGGCCCCTTGAGCGCGACGGTCGTACTGTTGCTTCTGGTAGCTCTGAGTCCACCTCAGGTGTCGCCGGGAAAACTCGTGGGCCCACGTGTGCCTCGCTCTTAGCTCGTCGACGTAATTTAGTGCCTCAGTAGTCTCTGTCTGCTCCTCCGGTGACCCGACTACGACGTCCAGGGCCACCAGCGACGACCACAGGCTGTGCAACGGTTCAATTACCTCATCCGCTAGCATCTGGTCCACCTTCCTCTGGGCCTCCAACCGCTTGTGGATCGGAAACCGCCGAGGAGGTTGCTGGATGGGCGGCGTCGTCCCTGTTGTCGGTTTGGCCGAGCCTGCCGTCCGGCCCGGTGAAGGCACCCTGGAACTCTACCAGCAGGCTCGCCAGTCGTGCATGCCCCCACCGTCCAGATGGGCGGCTCCACGGTCCAGCAGGTCCTGCAGGTGGGCGGGCACACTATCGCCCAAGCTCTGAGAGGAACCTCCCTGCAACCGTGGCCCGCCGGACCGCCCTCGGGGCTCCAAATGGAACCTTCCGTAGGGCAGGGCTCTGAAACCACCCGTTGAGAACTCTCCTCGGGGTCGATCACGGCACCTTCTTCCGCGGGGGCGAACATGGCCAGACAACTTCCCTTATAGACTGTAACTGGGTCTCCCGTCGGGTTGAATACTCGCACCGGCACGGCCCCGTGACTGGTATCCACGAGGCCCGTCGCGACGGCCACCTGGCAGTGGTCCGTGGCCGCCAGGCTGGGGTACACCATCCCCACTCCGCGGGCACGATCCCCGCAGACTTTCCCGGTCACGATCGCCTCGTGCCCAGCGGGGATTACCACGCTCTCAGCCACCTGGACCCGTGCCACCACTGGCTTGCAGCTCGGCCCCTCCAGGAAAACCAGCTTGCCGTCAACTACGAGCGAGTTGTCACTCAACCTCCACTCGCAGCGGTATTAAGCCAGGAAGTCTATCCCCATAATGACGTCGGGTTCGATATCCGCGAAAGAGAGAAATGTTTGTCGTAAATAGTACACCATAGTAAAATAATCGGATGCAATAGTAATATCAGAACAACGCAGAGAACTCAATTCGTTAAACCGAAGAAATCCTGCAAATGCTAAAGTTACTATAGCTAGATCTCTAATAGGCCTAACTAATAAATCTGTTTCGTCGGCATACATATCACAAAGCTTGACCAACATCTCAGATGTTACTGCATCTTTTTTTCTGCGTCATGAGCCCGGTTGTACGACTTGATGAATCTGCCAACCGTTTGTACATAGCGATGGGCTCATCTACCAAAAGTGGTAGCAGCCAATCACATTGCCGGACTTGTTTTTACGTCGTTCATATTATGCAAGATCATGTCGTTCACATGCAATAATGAATAACTACATATCACCAACAGGGGTCCTATTGGCTTATCCGTCAAGTCGGACTTCCTGACAGGTTACGTATTACACGCGTTGTACAATAAAGGCTATAACAAGGGCGCCTTATGGGGGTTATATTAAATGAGTTGCCAGGCCGAACGCGACCACCGTGTAGTGCGTACCGGTTGAAGGGATGGTTAAGGAAAAGCAACGTAAGTCCGACTTGATTAAAGTCAAATGGAGTCGAGGATAGCCCTAACCGTTTAGGAAAAAATTACCCCACCCGAACAGGGCGGTGGGAAGGGCTGATGGCATGTGTGCGTCACGCTAACATGTTTATTAGTCTTAGCCAAAAGCATGCAGTTGAGAGGGAAGATTGTTTGATCGTGTGCGGAGCTTGTGGGCGAAAATGTCGTCTGCTAAAGAAATACTTATTTTATCAGCTGAGACTATAAACAATTTGTAATCAAGCTGAATTATAGTCTTGTTGCTTTCCATATACACTTTTATTTGCCGTACTTTCGTTCGTTTCAAGTTGAGTTTCAGGCCTGATTTGTTAAAAGCACCACTTTGGCCCCGCTTTCATCCATTTTGAAAGTTGGCAAACACGTCAGTGAGCGTTTCCCAAATTTTTGCTGACGCTGCCTTCGTACTTGACGCCAAACGTGTTCCTGTTTGAAAAAGTGTGCATAAAACACGCAACTTTCGGGTAGAATTTCCCCTTTTTGGGGTACATTAATTTATAATGCCATTTGTATAATATATTTTTCGTTTGTGTAAATATTAGCCGCCTCTCTATTTCTCATTTATATTTGTAGGCTTACACGTTTCGTTTGTATATTTTTGTTCGTAAGGGCTTATATTTTTCGTTCATGTATTTTTAGGTATGTATCATATTTATATTATTTTTATATTATGTATATTTATATTTTGTGGTTTCATTTATAATTTTAGTTTTGCCTTTTTTGCCTCAAAGACCGCCCATATGATAGCCTTTGATCAAGGCACCCGCGGCGATATGGATAGTAGCTTAAGAGCGAGGAGCTGGAGGAGACTACTTCAAGCACCAAACCAACGCACGAAGAAAGACTACACGACTGTGGCGCGCACAGTCAGTCCCACCGTCAGCTCTCGGCTGCTGGCTGCTTGCGCATGACTGGTTGCATGCAGTTCGTCGTGTGGTCTTGATCATTATGCCGCTGGCGCCTTGATCCAAGGCTACCATATGAATGAGGGGTCATTGACTGATCGCGCGGGAAATGTCGAAGCCGTGCGATCTGTGGTAGCATTATGTAATGTATTCGTGGAGGAGTGCGAGCGCCTGACGTTCACTTGCTGCAGACGGCGTGTTGTTTCTCTTTTTACCGAACACTTTCCTACCACAGTCCAATTTGAAAATCTTATTTCTTTCAGAATGAAAAGGGGTGCTTTAATTGTTTTTGAAGGTTGTGATCGTGCAGGCAAGTCAACGCAATGTCGAAAGCTTGTTAAAGCCCTCGAAACGAAAGGGAGAACAGCTGAGCTGATCCGATTTCCAGGTAACAATGTAGGGCCTAGGCACAGATTGTAGCGCCCCACATGCACACGGGCTGTTGTGGCTCTCTTTTACAATCTGTCTCCGCTCCCGGTACATGCCGGTTTTTTTCAAGGCGCCATATATCGGAAAATAGACGATTCTGGAAAGCATTAGGGTGCTTGTATGAAAGTCCAAACTCTGAGAAATACTATTGTATAAGTAAAATTGTCGAGTTATTCTCATTTCGGAAGATATTAGGATTCAAAGTTTGTGACAATCCTGCAGTTTGGATTTCAGGCATTTAAGACATGCCTTGAACTGAAGTAGGGCTGTGGTGGCGACAGATAAGAGACATTGTAAAAGAGAGCCACCACAGCCCTATTTGTGGGGCTACTTCCAGGCATGACTTTAATGCCAGAAATCCAAACTGCAGGATTGTCGCAAACTTTGAATCCTAATATCTTCCGAAATGAGAATAGGCCCAACTCGAAAATTTAGGCCTATTTTGACTTTTATATGAGCACCCTAAACTTGAAAAACCGTATATTTTCTGATGTAGGCCCTATGGCACCTGAAAAACGGTGTGTGATATTTATATGCAGACCATGGGCAGTGCCATTTTAAAAAACGATAGCCACCCTTCCGGGTGCCTAGACCCATAAACCCGTAAACAGGGCCCAATGAATAGGGATTTCTTTCGAAAACTTTATCCGGGACATCTGGGGCATGACTAAACATCTGTTTAATTTTATGAGCTGAAATTGCACCAGTATGTTCACTACTTACACTGTGAAAAATCCACTCGGTTGCTAATTGTACAAAACTGGCCTTTTCTTCCTTTGGAGGAAAAAAGTTGCCTTTTTTGCTGTTTTGCCACTCCGTACAAATTTTCGCCTGACTTGTACGTTACACAGACTCCTTTGTATGGTTAAGTATGGTACCCTGTGCGATAGCCCCACTAGTGTGGCACAGCCTCTCATTCCCGGCATCCTTAACCACACATCCATATACGCAATTTTGTGTCGGCGTACTGAACATTTTCGGAGAACCCACCCACGGCTGTTCCGTGTCAAGACATATGTAATACATGGACTGAGCGATAAGATACTACATGTACTAATGGGCTCTTCGAAAACTTTGGCAGCTTAGATGTATTGACACGGAACAGCCGTCGAGACAATAAGGGGTCAAGTGACTTAATGTTCAATGACCTTATTTTAAAGATGGCACTGTGAGAGCGAAACCGTTAGATTGAATGGATAAAGGCAAAAAGACTAGAAAATACCTGAATAACATGAGTGAAATCATTCAATAAATGGTTTTTAGAAAGCAGAAAGGTCAAGGATCATGTCCGTGTGCAAAAGAAATTGCACCCACGATGATAAGTGGGTGCGCCGAAAATGTTCAATACGCCGACATACATTGCGTATGCGGATGTGTGGCTGAGGATGGATCGGGAGTGAGAGTCCGTGCCACACTAGTCGGGCTACCCGTATGAGAGCCTGTCTAGTTTGCACCCAGACTTCAGCACCTATGGATCTCGTTCAGATCTTCGAGAGTACCTGTCGATCTAAGTACTCGTAGAAAATTACAGCTGTTTTGTGTCGCAGCTAATACGTAACGCCCTTAGCTGGTTCCCGTCCAGACACACTGTTTGCAGCAAATCATTGGTAGCGCGGCTCGCTCTCTGTAACGTGACACGAAAGTGATGAAACAGCCGTCGCTTTTGTGCAAGTGGGGCAAATTTCGGAGTGGGAAAATGGCAAAAAAAGCAACATTTTTTTTCTCAAATGAGGAAAAGGCGAGTTTTCTACAGTTAACAACCCAGTGGATGGTTTACACTGTAAGTAGTGAACATACCGGTGCAATTTCAGCTCATCAAATCAAGCGGATGTTTAGTTATGCCACCGGATATCCCGAATAACTTTTTTGAAAGAAATATGAATGAATCAGGACAGGGCCCAGTATACAACAGAGGAGTATTTGTTGGGTTCGTTTTCGTGTCTACTGGGTGCCAGACCACTACTTGCGTCGGATTTCAAGGCACCTGACAGGCACTCTGGTATAGGTTGTATCATACAAAAGTGGTTCCCCATCACATCTTGCGTGACAGACAAACAAGGAACCGGAGAAATTAAATTTGAACAACATTAATACATGTAATATGCATGTAACTGTATCATGCTCCACAGCACACACATGCTATTGGCGTGCTGTACATGAGCAAAGAGCACAATACTAAGCAATACTGTGACAAGAAGGTTTTGTCTTGATCTGAAACCGACCCAGAACTAGGAAAGGTGTCGTTGTGGCTTTCGTGGATCCTGTGATTCCAAATATAAAAGCTTAGACTTCGGGAAAAAATTAAGGTAAACACAAATTTGACTTCTGACCATATTTCACTTGAATTTGAGGATTTTTGTAGCTGCAATCTTACTGAATAATTTTGGCAATCTGGAACTAGGAAAATGAATGTACCAAACCTATGAATAAGAGACTGAAGGAATTTTGTCTTCTGAGGTGGAAGTGCTTTCGATGTACACTTGTATGACTGTATTTGTAACTTTCAAACCCAGTTGACCCAAATGACTTTTATACGGAAGTGGTAGTGTTTATTTTTGATCCTCTGGGTTGCCGCCATGACCATGGCCATTACCGTAGAGTTGCAAAATCTCTACCTGAGTGTATTCTGGTTCGAGCTGACAAGGCAATATTTCTTGTGCCTCATCAGCTCCTTCAATGTCGCTTTCTTCGTCGAATGAATAAGACGAACCTGATCGCTGTCATAATCAAAAAAAGCATCAATGCTGGAATTATCGTCTTTTGAGTCTGACATGATTGCACATGCTACCGCTACTACATGTACGTACATATCGATGCGTCATTGCATAACAGTAAACAGTCACCGGATAAAGGACTCCGTCCTATGACGTCATGATTCTTGGGAATTTCTTCAGACAACTATCTGTACCCGAAGGCTGTGGTTTAGCTTTTGCTTCGAGAAGGGAGTGCAACAGGGTCGTGAAAACTATAAATTACGCTGATTTTTGTTTTTGTTATTGTTATACATGTACACGTATATACATGTACAGGCCTCGATCTTGGGGAAAAAAGGGACAGGCCACTTTGACCTTGCCTTCATCAAATTTCAACAGAGCACCAGGCCAGCTCGAGGGGGCACCAAGGCTAATTATTTCGAAACCTTTGATTAACATTTTTGACAACCAGTCATGTCATGAGTAGACCTATAAGCTATTGTTCAGTTTTTGTACACCGTGCCATCCCCCTTCAATAAAAGGCATTTATCATGCTGCTATTATTTGTCGCATTCCCTGTATTAAATTGTAATGTTCATTTTTAATTAATTACAATTGCCCGGACGATTTTTTTTCTTCCGAATCCAGTCTCTGATTTAATGCTTGCTTGGATTTTATATCCCTTTCCCATTAGAATTCATGGATTCCTAAACCCCTTAAACTAAGTTTAAAATATACTAAATAGTGTTTATCCTTTTATGTAAATGAAATGGGGATCCTCATAAAATGTCCTGTTTGCTAAATGGTTACGAAAACTCTGGTCAAGTTGGCATCGTGCAACTCGTAAGTCGGCCTTTCGCGTGTTGTATATTTCCATTGATAATGTTTAAGTGGGCCTTTATAAGCCGTCGTTTCGTTCAAGTCGGCATGTTCTCTCGGTTCCTTTTCCACAAAACCACAAAAAAAATCCTCGGTATAAAGTGGGCTGTAAACAAACAATTGATTTCCTGATTGCCTACGTGGCATAGGCCTACATGTACATTGCGTGTGCGCGAGCATGACCACAAATGGGTTTTCCCAATATTTGCATCAATACCAGTACCCCCTGTAGTGCACACGCATGCGATCTTTCCCTTTTTGGGGTCGTCCTATTGAACAAAGTTTTTACTTGCGGCCGGCACAAGATCTCACGTGCACATGCCAGTGCATGACGTGTGCTGTGTGTGCTAGTATTATGTCAGTTCAAACGGCATGCACGGGTCGTCCTTAGTACGGAGCGATGATCAAAATCGAGGACAAACTTACCTGAATCGACAACGGAGATAGAAATAAACCAGGGCAGATCAAAGCAATTAAACTGGTGCAATGAATTATACATGTATGAATGGTATTACCACATAAGTCGGCAAGCAGCACATGTCTGCATTTCGAAGTCACTATTTTTTCGAGTCAAGACTGAGTACCGACTTTGCCAGAGTTTACAAGTTTATAAATACTTGATCCTTACTTTTTCTGGAAAACAGGTTTTCAAGCTTCTGATACTTTGAACTCTCCTGTAAGAAAGCATCCTTTTAGTGTTTCTTTATACGATCGTGCGATGGCTTGATTTTGAGATATAGGCGTAGGCCTAGCAAATGGTCAATACTTATTCTTAACACAATAAGTGCTCGCCTGGTTTCCGACTTTAGTTGTGCAAATTTGCATTTAAGATATGCTGTTCACCCGTGCGGCGCTGCTAATGATATCTAAGGCTGCATTTGCGCAGTTACTCCTGATAACCTGAGTGTGGATGCACGTGCATTACACTCGGGTCAGGCGTATACACCTCTGTGATGGGGAGTATACTCTTGCTGACCCGAGGACGGTACTCCTGCCATTCGTGCGCTCAGGATAGTACTCGGGTTAGCAGGAGTAGCTCGATCGAACACAGCCCAAAAGGTTGAACTCACCCCAATTCGAGTCGCACTGCATGCATTGACTTACTGTACATGGTACACTCTCATTACACATACAGCCGGCTGCAAAGGGGGAAGGGCACGCTGGCCAAGGTAGCTGCGAAATGTGAGCTTTTTGGAAGGGCATTACGGCAAACTGGGAAGGGCATGTGGCCATTGGCCGCAGTAAAGAGCGAGGCCGGCATGTATGTTTGTTTTTTGTGTTGATGCATGTTTTACAAGAAATCTTCCCAGCTCGGCCCATCCCCTTTAACGGAAAGGACAAGGGATCATGCAGTTGACCTGCAGACGATCCACATGGCAGAGTTTGA